TAAAAACAGAATTACGTTTCATTATTCCGCTTGCCCATTCAATTAAAGTTCGAACTTTAACGAAGAATCCCAAAAAAATCCACATAATTAATGAAACCTTCGGATGTTTTGATGCAAAACATCATTATTGGGCCCAACGAAAATAGCAACGAAAAATTTCAAAAATATCAACTAGCAAAAATTTTGACTTTGAACTTTAATTAAAGTTTGAGCACTTGGAATCAGCATAAATCAACAATGTCTTTCATATTTTTTGCAAGGCATCGTAGAGTATCAACACACTCAACAATTGTGTCAAATATCAATTGATTTTCTAAAGTCTCATTTACAATTTGTTCAGTCATTTATTGACCTGATTTTTTTTTACTCATTTCAACAATAAAAAAAAATATTATAAATAAGAAGGTGTCTTTTTTTAAAGCATACATTGAAAAATTTGACATTTAGTGGAGAAAAACTACAAAAACCTCGTTTAATTAGTGCAAAAGAAGAAAAAAAAAACGAAAAAGAATAGTTTTAATCCGCGAAAATGCCAATCCCATCAGTTCCACTAAAAACATGTAATAAAAAACAGCTTTTAATTTGCTCATATGTCACATTACCAATGTGGAAAATCCTGTTGAAATAACAAACTATTTCTCGCGAATGACATCGGATATGAGACATCGTTTGATATATAGAGTTCTGTGCCATACACAAAGAAGTCGACAAAAACATAAATACTAGAAAACTTTTTGTTGTCTGTCGAAGAAAAAAAATAAATCTCAATTTAATGCATGTACGACACAGTTTTAACAACAATCAATTTGTCCAATATATTAGAGAAATGAATGATGTAATATTACATTATATAAATTTTATAAACTGAAAAGTTTGAATAGTAAACGAAAAATCTGCTAAAATAAGTAAATAATAACATTATGGCATAACTTATATAATAATTTAAAAAAAAATTCAAAAGAATATATTTAAATTACGTACGATCAAAGTGGTATAATTATACGAAATGTTGAAGTTGTTCAATCGGCTTACAGAAATTGTTCTATTTTACTAGAACTTTAGCAATTGTATAACCTTGATATTTTCTATGAATATGCCATCACATACGTATTTTAATATTAAATGAGAATGGATTGGCAAAACAGCAAACGTATAAAGTTGAACGAAAAAATGTGCGAATTTGTCATTCAAGAACTATAGAATTCCATAAAAATATGGCATAACTGAATCGAAGCATTTGGAGGAAATATTTTTTTTTCTAACACATATGTGGTCATCTACTAGATTCTACATACGAAATGAAATTCAACAGAAAAATACATTTGTAAATAAATATGACAATGAAATAAAGGAAACAGTACATTTCAAATTCATTTCTTCATTTTGTTTCATTTTTAATGCTCACTAGGGTGGTCCAAACCGATTTATCATAGTAAGGTCTATGCTCCCAATAGCTTGAAATTAAATTGACGTCAAAACTAGCTGAATCCCATTTCAGATTGAAAAAAGGTTAAAATTTAGTGGTCGATAGAGCCGTGCTTAAAATGACCATTTTTGACCTATTTTTAGATATTTAGTATATTTTGATAGAAACCCCGTAGGTTATTAAAATCGAATCTGGTGACTTATCATTTTTAGGGGTTTTTGCGACGCTGAAAAAGTTTTAGTACAAAAACATGGTTTTTTGAACAAATTCAGCCATATAGCAAAAATACATTTTTCAAAGTGTATTTTTAACACCAAATTCGAACTCAGCGCCTCAAATTACTTTGAGAATGATGGCAAAAATCGAATAATCTCAAAACTAAAATTTTCTAGTAGTGTTCACGTTTCGAAAAAAATCACATTTTTCCACGTATTGTTCCATCAAGAGTGCAATTAGTTTTAAAAACGCCATTTTTAGGGTTTTTTGCCGCAGAATTCGAATCCACCCAAGAAAAATTAACAAAATTTTCAAAATGGCAAAAATTATAAAATTTAAAAAAAAAACTTAAAAATCGAAAATTTTAGCCAGCTATTTTTGGGTGGATTCAAATTCTGCGGCCTAAAAAGCATAAAAATGGCTTGAAAACTACTAGAAAATATTAGTTCTGGGATTATTCGATTTTTGTCATCAACATAGTCATTCTTAAGGTAATTTGAGGCGCTGAGTTTGAATTTGGTGTTAAAAATACACTTTGAACCATGTATTTTTGCTATATGGCTGAATTTGTTCAAAAAACCATATTTTTGTGATATGTGTTGTCTATGACAGTCTGTAGATCTTGAGAAAAAACTAAAATAATTTTCAGATTTTTACTTTATTTACAAAACTTTCTAGCCTAGCTTGGATGAACCTATGCATATTTACAGAATTGAAATGTGAAAACGCAAAAAGTTTTAATAGTTGAACATTTTCAATGTTTTTTTACAAATAAAAAGTTGAAAAAATATATTGTTTCAGCAAAATGCCCAAAAAAGTTATTTATCGTATTTCTTTTATTTTGTTTAAATAAATAAATTCAATATGCACAATGCGCTTGAATCAAATCATCGATATACATTATTGAATAGTTTTGAAAAAACCGAGTCAAACATATAAAAATTTAAAAGCTCAACTTATTGAATGGAAAACATTTTCGTCTCGTTCGAATTGTGTTTCTACTCTTACGATAACAGTTTAAAAATAGGATGATAACAATCAAGGTTAAAATCAGTAATAGATACATAGACAAACTGAAAGATTCCTCCTTCATTTGAATCGAATTCGTTAATTTTGGCAGCTGAAACGGTGAATGATGAATATCTGATGATTCCCTGAGGACATCGGCATCGCTTTTCTTGAATACCTTCATTTTGTCACCACTCTGATCGATATTTAATGACATTGCTATGTCACCTGATGGATTTTTGTTACGCCAGCTCTTCATTGGTAGATCGATATCGTCAAGAATCATGTTTCCGGCTATAGTATATACATATATATATATATATATTTGTTAAAAAGTTGATTGTTTCATAAGTGTTACGGTCCACATTTTGTTTTCACTACGTACCTCACCTTTTTGACTCTCCAATTTTCGTCGTAGGTTTGACTCAGCTGCTTGAGCATCACCATCCAAGTCATCTTTTAGCAAGTGGAAATCAGTCGGTGTGCTAATATTCAAAAAAATCGGCGTTTCCCAATGTAAACGATTACACTTTGGGATTGGCCGTTTGATTTGAGTATTTGATTTTGTCAGGCCATCATTTACAGCACCGCTACTTAGCACATCATTGGTTGCTGCTAGCTGCAACACTTTTGAATACAAATGTAAATTGTTGTTCGGTAACCTTTTAGGCATGCTTATCAAATTTGGAGTGAATCGAATGTTTGGTGAGCGATCGAGGTCTTTAAGAACTGTTGAAATATGTGATGTCATCGTGTACTCGAGCAATGCGTCCAGCAACCAAAAGCAAGGCTTTTCGATATGTGTCGAATCGAGACAATTTGAATCACCATACACTACAATGCGACCTTCTCTTGAATGTTGTTTATAATCTGAACCCTGATTCTGACTATTTTCACCATTGGAAAAAGCAGCTGTTGCTGAATATTGTTTTATCACTTTCATTTTATCATAAACGACATTTTCGTTTGGTGCATTATGTGTTTCCTTAGATTTCATTTCGTTCAACATTTGCTTCCCATCGTCTTTAAATTCTGTCTCAATATTGTTGGATTGGTCGTAATTAACTTTCAACAAAATTCGCTTATTTATAATGGGATTTTCATCAACCACATGATTGAAAGCGGCATTCGTATCTTCGTTTATCGTTTGTTCCATTGTTTCAAATAAATTCTGGTTTTCGACGTCATTAAATTCCACATTATTTTCCATTTTTTGTTGTACCAAAGATTTCGTTGTTTGTAGCAAGCCCAAAATTGGTTTTGGTCGCTTAGTTTTTTGCACTTCACCATTCAATATCTAAAAAAAAGGTTATAAGGAGGATATCGTCTTATTGGTTATAACTTGAATCACTTACCTCGATCCCCTGATCATGTAGATCACGTTCAATGACAATTGATTGTGGGTTTTGTGGAAATTGAATTAAGGACGAGCCGCTCGCATAATACATGCCATGATCGCCCATATTGAAGTACCCTTCGCAAACTTCGTCACCAAACGCAATGCCGAAATCATTGAGTAGTTCGTTTAAAGCAGGAATATTTGCTCCACCCGTATCTGGCATCCACCATTGACGTGTGTTTTCATCATAAAATTTAATTTTTCGAATAACGCTAGCATTGTACCAATCGGCGAATACAATCACACTTAAATTCCAGTCTAATATATCGGTTTTCAATTTTTTGATTTCGCTATTGAAATATTCCTCCTCCGGATCAACAATCAACAAAGTGCCATAATTTGTAGCATTGAAACATGTGAATGGCTCACCCAATACTTCAACATAATAGCCAGCATTTCGTAAATGTGTGTACATGTCTCTGAAATTTGTGTGAATGTGATCAGCTCGCCAGTCGAGTGGATCTGATTTCATTTTCAAATTATCTCGAGGTAAATAGCCCGGTGGATATCGAAGACTATGATACTGATCCCACAAAATTCTTTTTTGACGCGGTGGTCTTGGTATTATCTTCACGCGAATATAAAAGCTGACGGTACTATTTCGAGTCTCGTTATCATTTGAACTAGGACTTTGAACTGTCAGCGTAATATGACCATGAGCCATGCCTTCAAACTTTTCACCCGCTTCATTAACAGCTGCAAGAATAAGAAAATAAAAGACATATTTGAATGTTTATCATTGATATTCTTAATAAATGTCAATATTTTCATTACCAATTCTCACACCCAACCAGCCAGACCATGGCCATAAAACTTCTGAATAGGTGATGGAAACGTTTAACAAATTTCCATTTTGCAGAATGTATGGATGCCATGTCGGTTTATTGATTACACGTCCCGTAACGCCCATTCCATTCAGTATCGTAACATTGACAATGGTGGGAACACTGGTATAGAATAAAGACTGTGTATTATACGGCCACATGTAGTCTTCCGTGAAAAAAAAAACAATTTCGAATCAAATTTTTCACCCTTTAATAACAAATGCTGCGTAATGATAAGATTCTAATTAGCTTTTACCTTCCGTGAAATCTAAATACGGTGGACTCAATGTCACTTTTGGTATATATTCAGACAAAATTTTCATGCTCCTCAATATGTTCAGCTTTCCATAGCCCTGTTCGAACATATTATTGTCATGTAAACGTGTTGCACCCTCGATCAATGCCTGCTTCATCGAAGACGGATTCACTAAGTCTCTATGGGAAATGAAATTTGGATATTGAATAAATTGAAGAAAAAAACAGAAAAAGAAAACACCTTTAATTTACATACAGTTTATCGATCACACCGCTAGCTAAAAGAGTAACAGCACCGGCCACTACTGGCGAAGCTACAGATGTACCAGATAATGATCGACATCCACTTTTAACGTTGCTTCCCTTCACTTGACTACCATAAGTCACAATGTCTGGTTTCAATCGTCCATAGCCATACGGTAATTCCCACGTCGTCATGCCTCTTGAACTGAATTTTGCGATATTTTCATCAAAATTCATTCCGCCGACGCCTGTAATTTCCAAATTAAACCAATTTATTGATTACCATATTATATATAGATACAATTATTATCTATCCACATTCAAATCCAAATAATACCTATAACATCACTCTGATCACCAGGATTGTTGAGTGTTCCATACAACGGACCATCGTTTCCAATTGCAGAAACCATAATCACTTTATTCGCGGTTAGCTCAAGCACTTTGTCAACGAATGGGTGATCGAGAAAGTCTGGTCCCCCAATGCTTAAATTTAAAACGTGAATCTTCCGAAGAATGGCATAGTTAAATGCATCTAAAAACCATGACGTATATGATACTTGGTTGTTGGTAAAAACACGATAGATGTGAAGCTCAGCATCTGGAGCAAAACCAAGACAATCTTTGCTGGACGCAATCACACCGGCAACAAATGTTCCGTGGCTCACACCGTCATCCAAAGTTTTCTCGTTTGTCCAATTTGTGCGTTCCTTAACACGTTTGAAGTGAGGATGATTTCTAGCCAATCCCGTATCGAATACAGCTACTCGAATCCCTTTGCCTGTTATTTGCATATTCCACAAACCATCGGCTCTTAACATTGACGTCAATTGACGTGGAATGGCGGCCCGTAGCAGACGTCGATTAGTGTGCCTATTTGCTTTGGATTTGAATGAAGACGCATTTTCATTTGGTTGCTGTTGATCTTGTTCAATATGTTGTACACTTGTAAGTCCACGGCGAAAATGTTTGAATTGACAATTTGTGCCCTCACATTCTGAATCGGAAATAGTTTCTTCATTGTGTATTGTATTTCCATTCAATTTATCCAATAACTCAAGTAATAATTTCTCATTTTCTTCATCCTCATCCTCATCAACATTATTATCTTCTTCAACATTATCGTTTGTATATGCATGATCGGAATCATAACCATCATTTGGTTCTTCGTTTGTAATTGCCGTTTTGTTATTGTTACTTGAAATCGGAATGTATTTGAGAGTTCGATGAACCATTCGTTGTGGCGTTATACTTTTGATCGATGAATGAGATCGTAATGTTTCAATAGCCGTATAGGGTGCATTTTCATCGATCATAACCACATCAAAATCACTGGGATATTCACTGGCTGGATTTTGTCGCTTAATTACTTGCCACTTTAAGGCGGTTGAATTATTCAATGCATTTTTTATATGTTGTTCACGTACATCCGGTAGAAGATACTCCCTGAATCGTACTATATACTCATTTTGAACAACGGTCGTTTTATATTCGATTTCAATTCGATGATTTTTGTCCGTATGATTTGTCGAATTTCTGCAGCATCCGATTTGAGCAGCAACATCGTCGGCCGTTTTATTACCAACGCCCTGATTTATCTCTGATATTGCATCCGAGGCCAATGCACCAAAAATAAAAAAGCTCCAAAGCAATATTCTGATTCTTATATTTACTCTATGTCGAGCATATTTTCCGAAAATGTTCATCGTATTCTTTGCACTTGATTTTACACATGGGCGCTACCATTAATTTTAAACGCAATATGCCATCATTATTTTGATATTTTAATCAGTATGATAATTTTTTCTCGTTGTTTCACCTCCTTTTCTTTCTTCCTTTTTAATCAATAACACTGTTTAATGATTCATTAATCTCAAACAATATTTTTTTCTTTCGTTTCACCTTTCTACTTCTCTTTATCGAAGTCATAGAGACAACACAGGCACAATTGAAAATCACTTTTGATTTGTACTGAACTTATTTTGCGTACACAGGTACGCGTTCCGATCAAAATTCCAAAACACCAGATTCATAACCAGCTAGTTGTTCGGATTTAAGTTTGATGTGTACAATCTGTAAGAAGTAAAATTTTCATGTTATATATTTGAAAAATGAAATCTTTTAATAATTAATTAATCAATGTATTATCGCACAAGAAGTTGTGTTCCCTAAATACATACACACATTTTTGAACAAATATTAAGCGATAAGATACATTGTCACAATAAATTTCTATGCTTTATGTACTTGGATGCATATATTTGTAATCGGCTTCACATTTTGGAGTTATTAGCTTAAAAGATTTCGCCTGCATCTAAATGTCAAATAATGAAAAGAGATAAACGTATTTTTTCATTATTTTTCGTCAATCGTATTTGTATTTTCATGCTATGCCGCAGAGCATTTTACACGTACATACTTGAAATATGGAAAAAAAATATTGCGCTTCAACTAAATCGAAAACACGAATCAAGTAGTCATTAAGTAGAAATTTTTTGAATAGTCTTGATTAAGTAGAACTTTTCACTTGACATTTCCTTATTTACAAAGAAAAAATTACAACTAGAGAGTCTTCCTTCGGAATTGAATGCTTTGATTTTTGTTGCATTGTAATGAAATTGTACCACACGCAACAAACTAAAGCGTAAGCAATTTTCATTGTTTTCTCTTTCTCATTGCCAATGGTTCCGTGTGCCATCATTCTATTTGTCTCTCTTTCGCCCTCTCTCTCTTTTTCTACATTGCTTTATGAAGAGCTCTCTACTGTATTCGTACATTGCCATAATCACGTCAGATTTGTGTTAGTGTGTTTGTGTATATGTGGTATAGGTTTATTTGTTCCGCATGTACATATATTGTGTGAACTGTAATGAAACTAACATTTGACCCATTCGGTGAATAGATTATCTATTATAGATACTTTGATTGGCGCGGGAATAACTGGTCTGTTACAAAACTTTTGTGTAGTCTTGGGCATAAATACAAAGAAATTGAATACAAAAATTACTGATGTAAATATGATTTATTTTTATTTTTAATGCTGTACGATTAACTGACATTTACATTTATGACAATTAAATACGCGGTATTTTCCAAGACTTTGAACCGTAAGTGAGCAACCAAATAAATCTATTTACAAAATAATACATTTTCTTTCTCTAAAAAGAACCATTGAAATTTTGACTTATTATTATGCGAACATAAAGCATATTTATTTTCAAAAGAATAAATAATTCTTCTAATTTTTTTTAAATTCATAGCAGTCAGCTGCGGCTGGACAGCCCTGCAACATGACCGGAATGCTATATTTGTACCGCATCGTAAGCGGTTCATTTTCGCTCTGCTACAACAACAACACTGCGGGTTAGAGCGATATCAATATACGCTGGGTATTTGTGCGACACACAAATGTAGGCTTGGTCGCAGCATAAACCGATGAACTGAATTCAGTTTCCGACATACTGAGCTGCTGGGAGTATCATATTTGAAAACTGTCGTGTGCATACAATTGAAGAAGAGAAAAAGAAGAAGAAGAAGAGACCAAAAAGCATTATAATTCAACCGTATATAAAATTTGCTCGTAGTGTGTCCCTTTCTCCCCCAGCCGAATTCTATTTAGTTTTCATCAGGGGGTTTGTAGATTGAAACACAAGCACACTAGCGCCGCAGTTTGCCCTACAATATCATATACGGCAAGCTACAGAACTATTCATTCAGTATATGTCATGTAGCTCAACTGTCAATCTGTAATCCCCCTGTGGTTTTCATCCTATTCTGTTTCATTCGTTTGGAACTTTTTGGTTGTATGCAAGCAGCGTTATAGAGAGAAAAAAACCTCACAAGGTAAGTGAAATATTTTTTGTTTCGTGTTTTGGGAAAATTGCAAAAATTCACTAAAATCATTGGCTATCGATTGGTGATTTTTTAAACGATCGATGGTAATGAATAATTCGGAGAAATTGTGATTTTGTTGGCAGTAAGCAATTTTATTCAAAGATGGCTGCGCGTTTAGCGAACGAGTACAGAGAGAGAATACGACACCAAACTACACCGTAGCAGAAATGGAATGGCATAAAAGTCAGAAGGTTTTTTTTCTAACACCGTCACACACATATTTCAATCATTCCGAGCGACTGCCTCCATGAATGCTTCGACATCAAAGACTGAAACAAATTCTCCAGTGAATATTGAGGATTTTTTTCTTCACTTTTCTTTCTATCAACCGACTGTGACTGAGTCTGTGTGGAATTGTTCACTTCAAACTCGATATCAGACTGCCTGGGTTTTTAGATATCATATTGATGAATTGAAAGTATTTTTTTTCTTGCGGCATCATTCTCTTGTAGCCCTTTAACTTCTACCGACATTTTTTTTTCACTTCAAAGTTCGTCGTCTAGCATCAAAATGTGTTTAGTTACATTTTTAATTTCTATTTTTTTATGTATATATCTTGTGAACAAAGGAAATAATCGATTCTTTCATGTTTTTTTTCTTCACAGATTTATCGGAAGATGGCGATGACTCCACTCAAACGTGCAATCGCTGACCTTGGGGACAATCAAACTGAGGTCAAGAACATCTTCGAATTGATAAAAGATGAAATTGATTCGATGAAGAAAGTCAATGACCAACAGCAAGCCACGATTAATCGACATCAAGCCATGATTACCCAGCTAGAGCAAGATGTTTTGCATCTGCAACAGGTTAATGCCTTGAACAAACAACAATGCCCGTATTGCCGTAATGCCACTGATGCACTTTTTTCGGCATTCAAATGTTGTGGGTCAGTTGATTCGTTATATTTTTTGAGTTTCCAATTTCATCCAAGATTATTTTTTATTTTCAAGTACTACGTGGTGTACTCAAATGTGAATTTTGAAAAAAGATGATAATTACGACGATGACATTGAAAGTGTCAGAGGTAAAAAGTGATTTGAGACCATTTTTTTCATTTTGTGATTGTTTTTTGTTTGTTTTTCTTCTTGCAGACAAACTAAAAGAAAATCTTATGCGGTTCAGCTGGTAACGATGAAAAATGGGAGAAAAGTTCCGGTGAAATATGAGCTCATATGATTCTGATGTATGTAAAACAAAAATAAGTCAGAATAAGCTAATTTGTTTCGATTTTTTGATATTTTCACCGATTTTTTGTTTTAAAAAATTGCAATTTTTGTGGACATTCTTTCTGGTGTATTTTTTATGGATTTTTTCAACAAAAATACTAATTTCCTTCTTTTCGTTTTGTTCCATTGCAGCGAGCTTGTTTGAGCTCATTTTGACGGCCAATTACTTGGGATTTGCCCGCCAGAAGGAAGTCGTTTCATTCATTCAACATAAAGAAAAGTCACATTACTGTTTACCATTTTCAATTGTATTCTGGCGATCGCTTGAAAAATAAATCAATTAAGCATAATACAAACAATCAATGTCGTTGAGTATTTTCTGCCATTTTTTCAGCGTCTTTTCTTTCTTTTTGCACTTTGACTCCGAGAAAATGCTACAAGCCGAGATTGTCGTTAGAGTGTCGGAGTGTCATTTATGTATTTTTCGTCGTAAAACAACATCTCTACACAAAACACGTATATATTACAAAATATTTCGAATTTGCGTTCACGCATTCATATTTGAAATGATTGTTTTCCATATTGTTTCTTCTTTGTTTGTTGAGTATAGTAAAAAGACCATAATTTATCTATTGTGAATAGAATTTATATAAATTAATAGAATATCCAATTAAACCTAATGCATACATTAATTGTCTCTAATTGGTTCGATCGAATAAATATGCGTTCCAACAGTCAGTTTCAAAAAAAAAAGAAGAAAGAATTCCAAACCATACATTTAGAACACACTTAAGACATATGCACAAGAAGAAGCATATTCCAATGCAAATGACTGCAGTGAAATAGAATGTTTTTTTAGGGATACGATATTAGTTTTTTTGAGAAATAAAAAAACTATAGATTCGTAGCACGTTCGTTTCGATCTCACCAATGGTTTCTCCTTAAACAACAGAGTCCTTGCGTATCCTGAAATTGAAAATCGAATTTTCGAGCCATTAGGACACTCACCGACATAAACGACCAAAATGATATTTACCACATATAGTTTTCAGTCTGAGGCGCACGCATTACACCCACGCCACCGCCCAAACGGCGATAATTCATACATCCACATAAACGCCATTGATTTGTTTCTGGATCATAAACTTCAATAGTTTTGAGATAGGCTGTCCCATCAAAACCACCAACTGCATATAATTGTCCATTCACCACTGCCAAACCCACCTAAACAAAAAAAATGTTATCATTATTATTTGAAGAGAGTGTAAAATTGTAATCAGTGTTGGCGATTTTTTAAAACAAATAATTTCATTCTATTCATGAGTTTTTTTTTACTCCGCACACCAACTCTTGACCGCCCCCGCTTGAAAGCTCATATTTCAGAATGTATGGGTATTACTCTACATTTTTGATACGGATTGAATTAATTAACTGTTTTTTGGTGGGCTTTCTCCAAGGTGTGGTACCAATTTATTTAGACTCTCCACACCGTGGCAGCAACAGTGAATTACAACTACTATAGAAAAACGAAACTTACCCCACTTCTTCGGGATGTCATCGCAACAATCGGGCTCCAAGTGTTTGTGTGTGGATTGTATCGCTCAGCCGATGACAATTCCATGCAATCGTCTCTGCCACCGACAGCATAAATGTAATTATTGAATACTGCACAACCCAAATGTTTCCGACGAGTAGACATTGGACTAACAGCACACCATTTGTTTTGCCTACAATAAAAAACCACAATTGAAATTGATTCAAATGTTTCAATTACGTATTCATAATTAAAATTTAGCATTTCCAAAGAGTATCGCAAATTGATAAAATTGAAAAATGAATACTCAGACAATGTTCAGCTATTTATTTTATCCACCGTTTTATTACGGAAGTAACTTGACCATTGCTGAAGATTGCGATAAGTTAGATTGAATTCCAATATATTTTACATTTTCACAAATACTAAGAAGTATCCGAATAACATGTATTTCAAGACTATTTATACTATTTTGAATTACCTCGAGTCGTATCTTTCGACTGTATTTAACGGACATTGACCATCCGAGCCACCAATTGCGTACAAATAACCACCTAAAACAGCAACCGCTACGCCTAATCGTCGAGTTGTCATCGGTGCCACCTTGAAGATAATTATAATCAAAAATTACTTACTTGAAAATCTAATTTAATTTTGTCAAAGAAAATACCTTTGCCCATTTATTTTCTTTTGGATCATATCTTTCAACGTGATTTAAGCATTGAACACCATCCTGGCCTCCAACAGCATAAAGAAAACCATCTAAGACGGCCACACCCACACTCGTTCGGCATGAAGTAGTTGGAGCAACATCGCATGACCACTGATTTGTTTGCGGATCGTATCGTTCAATACTATTCAGATAGCTTTGGCCATCATGACCGCCAACTGCGTATAGTAAATCGTTTAAAACAGCTACACCAACGCCGCATCGTCGTTTGCTCATCGGTGAAACCATTTTCCAATCATTTGTTTGCGGATCAAATCGTTCAACTGAAGAAATTGCATCACCTGAACACCAACCACCGACTGCGAACAATACTTCACCACGTCGCGTGGGTTTCCTTGGCCTGGTTCTCGGTCCTTGCATCAACGGTCTCTCTTGCGGTAATAGAAGATAATTTTTGGCTTCGTCAACTAAATCTCGGCATGCTTCATCCGACCGGACCAACAAATCGGAACCAACCGTTCCAACGAGGAATTTCGGACTGAGCAATGGAAGTCGCACATGTTGCAGCACTTGAGATAGATGCTGTCGTCGATCTGCCACATTATATTTTAACCATGCCATCACCGCATTGAACACTTGCTCCTCTGAACGTACATTTAATTCATCACTACAAATGATATCGACTAGTTGGCCAACGGGCAGCAAAAGAAATTCCTCACTTTCGGTAACCACTTCCTGGAAATTATGTTGTGTAAATTTATCGGCAATTCGTAACAGTTCACGACATGAATGTGTATCGGCAAATGCGCGAATGCCCAAACAATTTGTCGGGTCCAGTTGACGTTTTAGAAATTCGCAACAAATATCTTGAATTTCGGCTAGTTGCAATAAACATGCGGCTGGCAATAAGGTCTGTACATTTGATTCTTCAACGATGATGTGCGACGTATAACAAAAGTCAATCAACAATTCCATTGCATTTTCGTCAATGTCACGAATGGTCACCTCGGTTTGTCGCGACTCCTCTAATTCACCGGTAAACATTGCCCGAAAATATGGACTACATGCCGATAATATAACGCGATGTGCGAAAATCTTTCGTCCACCAACATTGAGTACAACATCGCACAGTTCCCGATGCCGTCGCAATACGTTCAATTCGGTAAGTGTGACTTTTGGATGCTTTTCCGATGTGTGCGATAAACGTGCGGGCGAAGGTGGTCGTTCAATAAGTGTGTCTCCCATTCTGTTTGTTGTGGCTGCTAAACGCAGCGGGGCTGATGCCCAGCTCCACACTGTATCAATCTGATGGAAGAGAAAGAAAAGTGAGTACAAATTGTAATATTGTTATTTTATTGAAATAATTAAATATGATTTAAGTGCCCTATTTTTTCCACAATTGTCAAGTAAACTTTGGTTGCCCTTTCTACGAAACGTTGTTTTGTATTTTGAACAGAATTTCAAAGTTAATGCACTTTTTTGCTTATTAAACTATCAACTTTGTAAATTTCGATTAACCAGACGACAAAAAAATCTGGAAAAAAACCTGAATCCACTTTTGAAAAAATACCAGTTTTGATAGTATACGCGAAACAAAAACCAAATTATGAAACCATTCATCCCACCGTCGATTCATTTGTTTTTGTTGTTGTTTTTTTTTTTTTTGAGGAAAAGTAAGTCAATGTCACCTGGTGACTAACCACAAGCACCAGGTAACTATGTCGAAGCCCTCAAAAAAAATTATAATTTATTTGAAAGTTAGGTTTGGAAGCAAATGTACAAAACTACGTGTAGAAACAGCTCAATACAGCACATAAAATATGGCACAAAGAATAAAAGAAGAAATTTTGATGTTGGATAGACTCTCATTTTCACAATATATTTTTATGGCAATTGATTCGTACCTTTAAAATCTAATTAAATCGATGTTGTTCAAATGCGTTTACACTGGAATAATATGTTTGTTTGTCCCCTTGCAAATCAATCTGAAATTAGTTGAATATGATGTTATTGTTGAGAACTGACCTTTGATGAACACACATTTTTGATTTTCAATAATAGATCATAGAAAGAATTCACTTGGTCGACGAATTTTAGTTTGTCAGATCTTCAACGTTTTTGGCCAATGAAAAAAAAACTATTAAACCAAATTGTGTTGTTTTTTTCTCTCTGTTGCAATATATTATGACACAATCGAGCATTTATACGATTTCATTTACGAATTGTGAATAAGTATTTCTTTTATTGGAATATATGCAAAATCGAAATTATTTCGTTCGTCTTAATGGCAAAAAGAAGTAGATCTTCATGAAAACATTCCATAATGTTGACTATTTTGACTTACTTTTAAATGTTATCTATTGGAAACTAGCACACAAAACAAATAGCTTTGGCCATTTTTAGTACACAAACCAAATAGAATGCCTTGTTTTGAAGTTGTCCACTTCTTGAAAATATATCAATCGATTTTCATGGGTTTTTCATTCATTTTACACATATTATGGGCATTCTATTCACGTTTATCATTTACAGTTTTTTTTGCGTTCACGAAATCGATTTGATTTTGTTGAATCTCATTTCCATTTCATTTTTATACACTTTGGGCTAACAAAACGTATCAATGAATTTTTTTAGATTTTTGTCTATCTCTGTTGTGATTACTAAACAGTTTATTGAATTGTAACTGCATAATATTTCAATTATCACAATTAGAATTGTCCAGGATTGGTAATAATACATGCCAAACGGTGACGATGAATCAAAGAAAAAAATCCGTTTATTTTTCTTCACTATTATAATAATTTTACTGTGTGGAATACGTCCATGTATTTTCAATTTCTGTGCTTATTACTGCTCTTCTTTTTCATTCTCTTTTTTTCATCCATGGTAATATGGATGATGGCGCTGATATGCATTTCAATGGAGCATTAAACGAACTCAGTCCATTTTCAATTCTCCAACATCGATACATTTATAATGCACGTAATTAATTTCATCACATTGGAAGTACTATTTTAGCAACATACTTATTCAATTATTTTATTTTAAAAAATAACTCTAAATAATGCTCGTTTTTTTTCTTGTTCTGTCTATTTTTTTTTTTGCCTCAGAACGCATCCATATTGTGGACATGACGTAACCAAAAAGTACGACTCAATGTATGTGAATTATATGTATACTTGTGTTTATGTTTGTGTTTGTGTTTATCGACTGTCAAATAGTATCTTGTTTTATTTAAAATGATTCACTTGTTTGTTTGTGCGTGTGCAACTCTTTTTTTGAACGCATTAACTACAAAGAAGATATTTGGGCTGAACTACTGTCAGTGTCAGATGTAGATTTGTTATTTTTAAATTGAGAACCATAGTATTCGCATTTTGTTTTTGTCATCAACTAAAGTGGATTTTAGCTCTTATTGATAACGAGCAAATCCATTCGAAAGAGAAAAACGTATGTTTACCACCCAAAATTGGTTGAATTCAATTGTTAGAATAAAACATATTCTTCGAAAACAAATTAATTAAAAAGGATATTTCAAAGCTTGAAACATGCAGAGTGTGTTCAATTCCGTGAAAGGAACAGCATTAGGAGTGGCTGAATATTTAACGCCAGTTTTGAAGGTTTGTTTATATTCTAAAAGCAAATGGATATTGTGTTCCATTAAAAATGAATTTGAAATTAAAACAATGCTTTCCATTGCTAGGAATCGAAATTTCGTGAAACTGGAGTGCTGACGCCCGAGGAGTTTGTTGCAGCTGGTGATCATTTGGTGCATCATTGTCCAACATGGCAATGGGCAACTGGAGATGAGGCACGCATCAAAACTTATTTACCGAAAGATAAGCAGTTTTTAATCACCAGAAATGTTCCATGCTATCGACGTTGTAAGCAAATGGAATATGTTGGTGAAGAAACAATAATCGAAAATGATGGTGGTGACGAGGGATGGGTGGAAACGCACCACTATGATGCTGGAACAAACGAACTTGAGGACAAAGTGTGTGATATGACATTAGATGGTAGTAAAAATGAAGATGAAGTAGCTGGTGATATGGAGGACGAATTGAATCGTGATAACAACAATGGTGATGAAGACGACGATGAGGAAGCTGTTGATATGGAAGATTTCGAAGAAAGCGGCCAGTTGCATATGGTTGATCCGGTATTACTTATAATTTATACCTTTTGTTTATTGTTGATTGAAAATTCAGTTCATGTATATGGACATTTATATGAAATGCATGTCTTACAGGCCACAGCAATCAGTAAACCAGCGGAAAAAACGGAACAAACTACGACAACGGATTCATCAGATAAGGGTGATCAAGTGATTCATACCAGAACTTACGATTTACACATAACTTATGACAAATACTATCAAACGCCACGTCTGTGGGTAGTTGGCTATGATGAGAAACGTCAACCATTGAGTGTTGAACAAATGTACGAGGATGTTAGTCAAGATCATGCCAAAAAAACAGTTACGATGGAAACACATCCACATCTGCCCGGTCCCAATATGGCCTCCGTTCACCCCTGCAAACACGCTGATATTATGAAAAAGATTATTCAGACCGTTGAAGAGGGAGGCAAGGCTCTTGGTGTCCATATGTATTTGATAATTTTCTTGAAATTTGTACAAACGGTTATTCCAACAATAGAATATGATTTTACACAGAACTTTGCAATGTCATAAAAAATTTGACATCATCAGTTTCTATTTGATATCCGTCGCTTTCTATAGTTTTCAAAGCAATTTCAATTCTCCTTTCTTTTTTTCTGAATTTGTGTTGATGATCAAGGCATATAAATAAAGACAATTTGAATGGTGATTTTCGATATATTTTTACGAAAAACAATGCAAATTTATTCAGCCAAGAAGTGAGTTAACGAAAAATATAACAGCAACATCATTGATTTTAACTTTTATATCCCGAATGGAATTTATTGGTTGCCGAGCTGTTGGCGTAAATTGGCAATTCGCTGATTCGCATCAGCAATTCAGGCCTGCCACAGATTATTTTTTCTAAAAAAGCAGAAAAAGCTGATATTACCAGTTTGAAAAAGCTGATCAAATCAATATGGCAATAGTTTTTTTTATAGTGTTTCTAGTCGAATCATAGCTGAAATTTTATTTTCAATCTTATTTATAAATAATATTTTTGATTGGTTTTTGTTGAATTTGACTTCCAAGTTTTCAACATCTTTATTTTTTTTAAAAAGCTGAAAAAGCTGAACTGTGACAGAAATAGCTGATAATAGCTGAAGATTTTCAAAAAGCTGATAATCAGCTCAAAAGCTGACCTGTGGCAGGCCTGTAAATACCATCACAATGAAAATAATAAAAACCTGTCAAGAAATCTGTTATTTTTCAAACAAAAAATTCGCCAATTTCGCTGTAAATGTCTATTGCACGGTTGCTATTTTGTACTCGTAATTTTAGCTGCCACATCAATCGAAGCCTCAGCTCAACCGCTTTTGTTTGGTTTGTATTTGATGTTTTGACACAATAGTTAGTTACATTTGAACGATGTGAGTGTCTCGGGATTTGGCCTGATCCCAGTACTTGCCCCGTGATGAAATTCCATACAAAACATGAGTGCGACTTGTAAAGATGCTCATAGGAAAGGAAAAGCTGGGAATCAGACCAAATCCTGAGAACCCATGGATCAGCCCAAATCCATTGGATTTGAACTTTGGGCCATCGAACCAGCCGGGTGTCTACACTCCCTCTACGGAGTGACACCACGGTCCATTTTGCCAATTTTCCCAGCCGTTTTCGAGATATTTCAATGTGTAAATATTTATTGGTTTTAATTTACCACTGGTGAGTTTGGATAAATTAGCAAAAAAGTGTATTAAAGTTCGAAATATTCCATCATTCTAAGATATTTTCACTAGATTTCTTACAAAAATCCATCCTCCGTAAGAAGCAATGTATTTTTTGTTCAAGCTATCGAATAACGATTTTGATGGTGCTTATTCTCTACATGTTTCTTCTGTTTTTCTTTACTTTACGATTTGCTTATATTTCCGATGTTTTGCTACTTTTTTCTGCCTTTTTTTCATTTGTACTGAAAATCATCAAGTAAAACATCTTTTTCTATCTTTTCTAAAAATTATATCTAAAAAAATCTGCAAAATTTGAACTGCAAGTTTCTCAAACATATTCTTATTCCAGGAATGCAATGTAACCGAAACTGTGTGTCTAAATTCAGTGTATTAAACCGTAGAATGGCAATTGTCATCAGTTGTTATACAGTACAATTTGTGCCTATTTATATTTGTGTTTGTCACTTCGTTGACTTTCACACACACTAAATAACATTTCACTCCTGCTCTTGCCTCCAGATGACTTAAATCGACATTGTAATCCGTTTTGAAACATAATTTTTTCAGCGATTTGTAGTCTTCCACTAATCGAATCGCATCGTCCACCGAAATTTTTAGCAAAAAAATATCAATTTCTTCCAACAATGGCAGTGCTTCGATAATATCTATGGGCAATCGTTTATTTATTATTTTCCAGTTTGCGTTCGCCTCTGTCAAGTTGAATTTAGTTATAGTTGGATGATTATGTAAGAAAACCAATAAAACGTCCACCCTGAAACTAGCGAAACTTCTGAATTCAAAGGCTCTCAAATTGCTCGCTGAAATTGGCATCTTTCTTGACTCCGAGTGCGAATAATACGTGATTTTTAGTTCCTTCAAACACGGGAAATTGACAACACACTCACCGAATCTCGCAAAATCATTCTTATAAAGTTCCAAATGTTCAAGGAACTGCTTCGAAAATCGGAACTGCTATCTCTTGCTTCGAAATTAGATGTCCAAAACAGCGAAGCAATCGATACGGGTTTGGTAACGTCACTAGTCCAGTATCATTGATCCTAATCTGGACGCAAACAAAATCCCAATCGTCATGCCAAATTACTAATTTTCCCCGCCCGAAATTCCTGGTAAATGCTAACTCAGCGGCTGTCTTCAGATGCTTGTTTGTATCGACAACAGTTACGAGATCTGCGATGCTCAAATACAAGAAAATGCGCTCAAGACAATCATCGTTCACGTCCGTCAGTTTTTTTGTCGTTGCATTTGATTCATTGATGGTCTCAGGTTTTGATGGCTTCGCTTTTTGGTCACGATCCTTGTTTCGACGGCACTTTCTCAAAACAAATCTAATCATTTTTGGCGGTAGACGAGATTTAGCATCACTTTCAATTTATCTTTTTTTTTTATTACCGATTTTGATTCAAACGAAAAATCTATTGTATTTTTTTTATCAAAATTTGTTTGTTTGGTTTCACTGTTGAGAATATTGACGGAAGCAAAATGAGCATGGTGTGGTTGCAGCCACAGTTGATATGGAATTGAAAATAGAATGCTAAAAAATATATCTAAATGCAAACTATTTTGTTGATCACAAATACGAACCGGCCGGATAATACCAACAACAATCAACAGAGAAAAATGCTTAAAAAGTTGTTCATTTTTCACCGAAAAGTGACCAACTTCTGTTGCGTTTTAATCTTCTATTATATTCGGTTTTGCAAAGAATTGAAGTCGCAAAACTCAAGTAACTCAAATCTAAAATATTTCTTTTGTGTAGGGAAATTCTTCTGGCTTAAGTAATAAAACAACGTTTACAATTGAAAAGAAAATGGTTAAAAATACATAAGTAATATTTTTTACCTACATCGACTACTGAAACCTGACGGTAAAATTCCAAAAAACTTCTTTTGTTTGGCCAAAAGGAAAGAGCGGCGAATGAGACTGTTCTGAGCATCGTTTGAAGTTATCGAGTTGAGAAACTCTTTCCTGTGCTAGAGGATTGTACATGTACATACTTTCCTCCACATTTCATGTTTACGAATGTGGTTCATTCAAATTGAAATTGGACGATTCAATGAGTCCGTGGATTAAATGCAATTTCAAACTTTTTTTAACTTTATGTTTTTTTATATTCATTGAATCAAAATCGGATTGTTGCAATCACTTTCAAGTGGATTACAAATTACATGTCGGCATCAACATTGATAAAAAACCACAAAAAACCTGCCAAAATTATCAGTTTTTCCCATTTTACGGATGTTGAACAGATGTTCATCTTGAAACATGATTTTCTGAATCTACCCGTCGTGACCTTTGCAACAAGTCCAAGAACATCGAGATTGGACCATCCGTTGATGAGAACGGATGCCTGCTTTCGCCGGCTGTGATGAAAAGATGCCAATAGTGTTTTTTTATTTTTCAAATTTTTGCTTTTTTTTTTATAGAGTTTTTTGCATTCGAAAATCTAAAACAAACAGCTAACGAAAAACACTAGAGCAATATTTGATTTTAACGTTTATATTTCGAATGGAGTGCGCATAACAAGATTATTTATTAATTTTATTTCCTCGCGAATTTTCGATTTGCTGGCGTAATTCAGCTATTTCGCGCATCAGATCTTCCTCTTGTTGGTTTAGCTCTTTTACTTGTTGGTTTAGCTTGGCCACCTCCTGGGTCAACGCTATGCAGTTGGGACAATCACCTTGGAGCTGTTGATGGTGTTGTTGGATCTGTTCTGATTTTGGTACCAAAATAAGTCGAAGCTGTTCGAGCTGATTCGGCGGTAGTGGAGTCAAAGTAGGCGTATATGGTGGCGACGGTATATTTTGGCCAAATCATAATAAGGATGGAGTGAACGAGCCAAATTTGCAAGAAGAAATTCGTAATGTTTTGTTAGGGAAAAGTTTAAAATAGACTTTACGGAGTTTGTATAAGAAAACTACAATTTTCAATATGTCGTATTTATATATAAATTTTACACAATATATTATGTTTAATTGGAAATCACACCTTCCGTTGAAGTTTTACATACCATGTGCATCAACTTATTTTAACAAAGAAATAAGCAATAATGTATCTGAATTTCATTCAGCGTTGTTCGAATTAACAATCGGCTCTGGTGGTGACGAATAGAATTAACGAAAGAGTACGTCCTATGTTCTACTGATGTGTTTCTTACTGTCTGATATTTCGTCGCATTTCGTCCGCTTCCAGAAAAAATTTTAAATGCTGACACAGACAAATGATCGAAATTTACACATCAATTGTTATCAGTTGGAAAAAAATAAACGCTAATGGTGTTTTACTTTCTGTCGAATGCGTTACCTGAATATAAAACTGACTGAAAGCTAAACATATATCAGGTTCAAAGTGTTCGTATTTCTTTCCTGAGAAACGCTAACGACTATTTTTAGCCAAAAGCCGTAGAGACACTTTCAGATAAGGTGAAATGTAGAGATTGACTATACAGGACAAAACTCGCGACATTGTCCAAGATGTGGTCGAAAAAAAATCGATGGAAAATAGAAAGACTCATTATGATGCAATTCACCGGTAGCAGAAATTCTATTCATCAATTTTGATATTGAAATATATTACATTGTCTGCCCGACAAAATAAAATACATATTAGATGTCGCTATCATTGAATACAATTTCAAATGAAAATTGTTTCAATTATCAATTTGCTTCATTGAAAAATCATAGTTTCATTAGATTTTCTTTTTTATTCGGTGACAATCGAAAATTATACTTGCATTGACGATAATCAGCTCATACGAAACAAGAAAACTAGCGTGGAAATTGATGCACATTCGAAAGCCGAAAAGCGTCAAAACTCTTTCTCCGAGAGTCACAAACTCATACAAAGGCGTAGGTTGTAGTAACCAAGAATTTGTTTCATGCTTTATGGTTGTGTTTGGAGTTTTGTTTGTGTTTGTATCATGTTTGTGTGTAAGTATGTGTATTTGTGTGCTTGTATTTGTGAGTGAATGCAAACGAATGGAGAGTCATTTTTCGTACAATATTTGACATATCTTCGTCGACAATCTCTCACAAATCCCTCGCAATTCGGTTTTCTCTTTTGCGTGTATTATTATCAACGTTCAAATACATTTCGGATTCTTGAACAAAATACAAAACAAATTGATTCGGTGAAATAATCAAAGAATAGTGATAATTGTGATCGATATTATTGCCGTTGTGGAATTATTGAAATAGAAAACAGACATAAAAACCTACACAGAAATTATATTAATCCAAACGAATGTCTCGTATAATCGATAAAGAAAAAATATTTGTGCATTAAAAAGTGTAGCGATTTTTGTTTGGTTGAATTTGCAAACCAGCATAAAAACAGAAACCATGAAGAACGATCAACTAAATTAAAAGTATAAATATTGGGCGAGGGAGAGAAAAAGATTGGGAAAGAGAGGCGAGAAAGTATATCAAGCGAAAACGATTCGACAGTGCGTGAAAACACAGAATAATGTCCTCTCCAATTGGTTTTTATATATTTTTTCATGTGTGAATTGTTTAAGGAATTGCTTTTAGCGGCAATGCGATAGTGGAGTATCAAAAAAAAAAATTTCATCCGTTTCTTTAGACGAAATCAACAACAAGATAAAACAACAACAAACGTTGTCGAACAATCAGACATTTGTGAGTGTATAAGTGAGCGCGTTCGTTTTACACTGTATCGCGTTGCCCTTCGAAACGTATCTACTATGCGAGTTTGAAAAAAAAAATGGTACATGAACTCCATGCATAGGAGAAGAGAACAGTCATATACGATTCTTTTTTTATTACTCTAAAACTGTATATTGAGACTAAGAATAAACACATTCGATCGCGCAAAGTGTGTTAGAGCGCGGCCATTTTTCGAGTGTATCATGCATATGTATGTGTGAGTTTTAAAAGCGTAGACGCCAGGGAATCAAGTATTTGTACGAACAAAAATCTCTCGGAAATATTGAGAACGGAGTAGCGGAATACTCAACAAATAAAGCAAACAACAACAACAAAAACAAAAACAACAACACAGAGCATAATATATTGAGAAACATAAATAAAAAGAGTCTGCCCGGTTCGACTTAGAGAAGACAGCAACGAGAAGAAAATAATAAGAAAAATATTGCGACGAGCACGGTAATATGTCGCTCCCGATGAATTCTCTCTATAGCCTGACATGGGGCGATTACGGCACATCATTGGTGTCCGCCGTACAGCTACTTCGGTGTCACGGAGATTTGGTCGATTGCACATTAGCTGCAGGTGGTCGAAGCTTTCCGGCACACAAAATCGTTCTGTGTGCTGCCAGTCCGTTTTTGCTGGACTTATTAAAGGTAATAATTTGAGAGGTATTTCGCGTGGTAATGGTATGCATGCCTCTCTCTGAATTTTTTCATAAATTTTTCGCCATTTTTCCCATGGCACAAAATTATGGCTTCCAGTGATTTCCGAATTCGACTCAATTTTTAGCATGTCTCGCATATTACTCGAATGGATAAAAATAAATCTGTAAAAGAAATTAGATTTGTTTATTCACATTTTTAAAACTGTTATTTTCTGTTCTTGTTACTGTTTCTTTATATTTTGCCGATTCTTCATATACTCTAGTTATATGTTTGTCACTAGTGCCACAGCACGTGTGAGAGAACGAAAGAGAAGAGAGTTGGAAGACATATACTCAATATAAGAGATATAATATGAGAGAGGAACTTATAACATTCCATTTTATTTCATTTGAGATACTTGCTTGTCGCATGTTTCAGCATTTTATTTGTGTGTGTGTGCGAGTGAATACGAATGAAGTGAATTGAGTTTCATCTCATTTTCTTTTAACAATTTCTTCTATAGAATACGCCGTGTAAGCATCCAATAGTGATGTTGGCTGGAGTCAATGCCAGCGATTTGGAGGCACTATTGGAATTTGTGTATAGAGGTGAAGTGAGTGTTGATCATTCACAGTTACCATCACTGCTACAGGCTGCGCATTGCTTGAATATTCAGGGTTTGGCACCGCAAACAGTCACTAAAGACGACTACAATACGACCTCAATTCAACTTCATCCAAGTTTATTGGCTCAACATCATGTAAAAACAGTTATTGATGTAAGATAGTTTTAAAAAAATTACTAAAAAAATAATTTAGTTTGAAAATAAAAACTAGAATAAAAAAAGATGATTTGTAATCACATAATAGAACGAGGACCTAATGACGGCTATACACGATTCATCTCCACAACATCAGACAATTCAAGCCCATGTTGTTGAAGAAATCATGCCCGAGCATTTGACTGAAGTAACCGATGTTAAGGAAGTTATTAATCAATTATTGCCAACTCGCAAACGGAAACCACGGGTCAAGAAACCAACGGGTAAGCTACGCTCATTTCTCTTCAAAGTGAGCTTTAGTCTATGGAAAAATCAATAAATTTTTCTTTTATCTCTAAATGTAATTCATTGTGATTAAAATACTCGTATATCTTTTATATTTGTACAGTATCAAAAACTGAACCCCATGTTACAAACGCTGGCACGGAGAATGAAATTGAAAATTCACCACCCAAAGCCAAAAAACCAAAAGCTCCGCGCGATCCAAACAGTGAGTACCGCTTTCAGTTTTAAATTGTAGTAAAAAAGCGGAACGTGTTGTTCATGATTTTTTTAAAATCAAATTCAATCCTAGAAACAAAATCCCGATCACAATCAGAACAACCAGCCTCCTGTCCGATTTGTGGCGCAGTAATAAAACAGTCTAGAAATCTACGACGCCACTTGGAATTAAGACACTTCTCGAAGCCTGGCATTAAAAAGGAACGTAAAAGTAAGTGAACCAAATCTAATTCAGCCCCAATTTTGTATAGTAAATATTTGTGAAAAAATTTCATACAAATTCATTATTTTCTCGTTTAATCAATCTAAGGCGGTAATAGCAATGTAACGAGTATGCAAACGGTAACGGTGAAAAAGGAGCCTGAAGATATATCATCAACGTCACAACACGAGCAAGGACAACAAATTCAAATACAGCAACCTCAAACTATTGCCGTCTCAGTTGCAGGAAATCAAGCTACGCATACGATCGTCGAAACTGGATCTAATTCAAGTGCAAATCAACCACAACATATAGTGACACATCATGATAATTCGGATGGTTCAACATCATTGCAAATTGCTCAGGTTCAAAATCTACCAGCAACACATCAGCTCACATTGAGCAATCTTAATCAGGTAAATTTTAAACATCTTTCCTTTCTTCATTTCTTTTTATTCTTATTTGATTTGCAACATCTAAACGTTTATTTTCTTAAACATTTTTCAGTCGAATAAAAATCAAATCTTTTTTAAAAAGTTGATTTTCGTGAAGGGAAATAATACAAACACGTAATATTATATTCAAAATTAAGAACGACGACTCAGAACGGAAGTTTCAAACAGAAAATCACCGAAAAAAAAATGACAAAGAGACTTTTTACACTGTTAGACAAAGTCTATAAAATAGAAACAACAACAAAATCAGTATAAATGCGCAAATGGCGCGCTTTCTGTTTGCTGTATTCGACGATGGCATGGCAATACAACATGTCCTTTTCCTAGAGATAGAGAGCACTCAGCCAAATATTATGTGTATATAACATTTTATTGTAAAATTAATGTTAATTTTCCATCAGTTTGCGTAAAATTATCGATCGATGGTTTTGACATTTTTGTTTAAGAAGAAAAACAAAGAAACAAAAAAACGCATAGAAATCCTCGAACATCCGTTTACGTTTATAATTTATGCTTTAAGTTAGAAAGGAAAACAAACAAACAGAGTAATCATTACAAATAAATAAAGGAGAATAAGAAATGTGCAATTTGCAAAGCGAAGTAAAAAATAAGGGCTTCTAAAACTTACTCTCTCACCTTCTATTACATGTAATTGGTCAACATTTGAATATTCAGATGGAGTGAATTCAATCCGGCTCGTATCCAGAACTGAACCAAAAGTAGACGTTAATCAAACGTCTAGCTATTAAATATTAATTGGAAAAGAAATTTTAAACGCATTCTTGATAGATCATCTTTTGTTGCTCGACGTTGACACACACATGGAACAAACTAAAAGTTTTGAGAAATAATGACTTTTGAAAATATGAAAACAGTTTGAAAATAGTACAAATCTGTGACAATTGTACAGATTTAATATCCGATTCATATTCACGTGGTAATTTTTAATGATATCGACCAGATTATACACATATTTAGGAATATAGTGCAACAAAATCTTTTAGACTTAAATATTTCACTTAAATTAACACATGTTTTCCACCTTTTTTTCTAAATTTTGAAACAATTTGACCACCGTTTATTGAACGTTTGATTAGATGGATGATTCAGTTTAATATAATATCGCTAAAAGCTCAGTGTCATTAGAAAAAAAAAATCTCGAAAGACTTTCTTTTGTTTTTTTTATGAATGTTCCAAAAACATGTGTTGAGTAAATGAAGTATTTTAGTCATAAACGTTTATATACAATATGAATTAGGTGGTTCGAAAGGATGAACAAATAAAATGGTCAAACATAATCTATTTCTCAAATAAGCTCATCTACGAATAATTTCATATCGATTCCAGATTCACACGTTGCACACAATTAAGTTAATTTTTTCGCATTATCCATTGAAATGGTAATAAAAGTAATAATTCGAATTGCTGGAAGAAATTTGAAATAAAAAATAATCGATTGAGAGCGCATATTGGGGTTTTGTTTTTGTCATTTCAATATTAAATTAGGCAAAAAAAATAGCACTCAAATTATGATTATATAATTCTCCGAAGCTAAAAATTTGAACTTTGAAAATTCAACCAAACAATTTTTGGAACGAAGAAATTATACGATGCGTATTTTTTGAGTAGCTTTTTGTGGATCAAATCGTAACGATTTTAGATTAAGATTAAATTTGGTTTACGTTACACATAAGACTCAAATACTTTTATTGAACAGTGTAAAAAAAAATCATGAAGAAAAAATAAATACATCCATTCAAAGTAAACTCGTTATTTTAATTCTGTGTATAAATTTACCAATTTATGTTCTTTCATTGAAGATTCGAGTTAAATCATTTGATTTTTTTTATGTTTTGTAACAATAGATTTAAATGTTTCGGGCTTATCAAAAGTATCGTACCCATAAATGCTCATATTGGCTACGAAAAACGGACTGTTCAAGTCATATACAATTACATTCAATCCATGCTCCCCCACAAATGTGCTGTTAACAAATGCAATTGCGGTTGCAGACTGAAACAAGTCGAAAAAAAAACAATCTTTATAAGTGCACGGGATATATCAATATAGTGATAACTTTCACAATACTTACATCGAAAGAAAAACCAACTGATGTGATACATTTATTCTTGTCATGGAATTGAAGTTCAGCTTCCGGGAAACGATCTGAGAATGTTACGTTATGTGTTTGAAAATCAATCAGTTTGTCTCCGGCTTGACGATGTCCCAAAACGACTTTACGATTTCTGGTTTGCGTTGAGTTGTGTGCATAAACAACTGTTACTGTTTTCGGGGTGTTCTGATCACCCACAGCAGCTTTTTGTAGCCTTCCAACATCAATAAGACTTACACTTGGGCCATAAATCTTGGCAATAACATGAAAATTTGTACCATTTATTATATTTAGTTGCGCTAGTATAGTTCTTTCTTTATCCTTTTCGGTGTTTACTTCAATTACTCCTTCACTAGTCTGTTACAATGAGTATTGCACAAAACAAAAAAAAATTAAATTGAAAATGATAACAAATTATCATTATTATTGAATGACTCACCGCATTTTTTACTTCGAACTTTGCATACGTGATGTTTGGCGAAAGTTCTGATCCAATATACTTGAAAATCAGAGTATGGTTTTTCGGATGAGGTAAATTGTGTCTAAATAGCTCCTTACTCCACAACAATTTTTGACCTGAAATGTTTTCCAACAACAAACCTAATTATATTTTTATATTCGCATTGCTATTGAAATTCAGCAATACCTGCATTTTCAATTCCGTATACGTGATCATCACAATAGCAAAATGTGACGGCTATCGCGAAAATCAAACTAAATTTTAACAACATTTTTCTCAAAACTTGTAATTAATTGCTTTAATTTTCCTTAAATCAAAGCATGTATGTTATTGAAAATTGCTACTCGAACTGTTTGCTTACAATTTTGTCTCTATAACGTACAACGGAATCGCCAAACGTTCGACCGGAGCCGATAACCTTTTCCTTCAACCAAGTGATAATGTGACACATGACACATAAAAACCATAAATACAATCAAAATAGAAGCGCTTCCAGGAATCTATTGAGCAGTTTTCTTCAAACATTGATAATCATGTTTGTGTCCATATTTATCTTAAAAGCTGAAATTTGGTCTCTGTTGACAATCAGTTCAATTTTTGAATGTATGATAATGCTAACAGCAGAGCGTGTTATGAGCTGATGTCAGCAGCACTAACTGACGAGTATGCGTTGCGTTGCGTTGTTTTAACGCATTTGCAGTCCGAAATTCGTATTCCTTTGGTGAAGGGGTAACGTTCAATTGAACGGCTGAGAATATTCGTTGGACTTTTTTCGATGCGTAGTTAAATGTGGAACTTGAAAAAAGTTGTACGAAAAAACGAGACAAGTGTTGTTATAATCACGGCTTAAAAACCCTGGAAAAATTATTTTGTTTTCCCGTTTTCGCGTACCAACTTTTTCAAGAGCCATATTTCAGATAGACGTAATAAAATCCAACGAATATTCTCAGGAGTTCAATTATCGATACACATTCTATTTTTGAATTGAACGTTTCCCTTTCACTAAAGGACAGGGCCTGTCCCAGATAGGGCGCAAGTGGTGCGGTGCACCACGGCGCTGGGGCGCCGAAGGCGCGCGAGTGCTGAAATTTGTGCAAGATGGCAGAAAAATTGGAGCGCTTGAGTTTGCTTAAATTGCTTAAATTTTCCAAAAATACGTAGAAAAATTCAGGCGTCGAGAGCGCCAAAAGCATCAAAAGTATTTAATCAGCTTACATATATTGAAAGGCCACTTGTATTTAAAGCGCCTTTTTCCAATTTAAAAATATTTAACAATAAGATTTCAGTATTTATTCCAGAGATGGAGTATATGTATATCAATTCGTTGTATTTACTGTACTGGGTACAGAACGGTATATATTCATTGAAAACCTTTGCGTTAAGCAGCGCGTCCGCTGGCACTGAAGCGTTAGCGTTTATGTGTATGTATAGCTGTGTGCGTGAAGAACTTAACGCATTCATGGTTCAAAGACGTACACGCAATGCAAGTGTATGCGTTAGAGTATATGCCGATACACATTCCCATGTACGCGCGGTATACGACGAACCATCTCTGATTTATTCAACCGACTACAAAATATATTCAATTATTTTGAGCACCTTTTTCCATGTAATTCTCAGTAAACATGTGTATTCAAGCGCTATATTTTTGAAATGACAAACAAATTTAGGCTCGTGCGCCTTCGGTGCTCGCAGTAATGTATAATGTTTTCAATGAATCTAAAATGCAAATTTTCAGTATTACATAAGGCAAAAAGATATCTTGCTAATTTCGTTGGATTTTTTTTCGTGCCTTTCATATATACACGAAACAGTGTATTTCGTTACTTGTTTTAAGACAATTTTGGGTCTATTTCATTTCATCCTAAGAAAAGAGCGCCCTGGCAATTTTGCACCAGGGCGCAAAGAGCGCACGGACAGGCTCTGCTAAAGGAATACGAATTTTGCACTGCAAATGCGTTAAAACAATGCAATACATACTCGTCAGCAGCTGATATCAGCAACTGACGTTAGTTAGTGCTGCTGACATCAGCACATAACACGCTCTGGCTAACAGGCTTTAGTATAAGCAAAATTCAAAACACAATAAATAATTTGTTATTAAATTGGAAAAAACAGCTACATACATATATTCTCCGACGATTACATTATTTTTACAAATTCCGTTTTTTCCCATGCTTCTTAAATAATAATACTAATAAGATGGTTGATTACGTAAATAACAAATGTGGAAAATATGAGTTCACAGATTTTGCTCATCTCTACGCTGGTGACATTTACTACGTCGCATAACGTCAAAAAGCGCTGATTTGAATGCGTCTTCAATAAAAAGACTGTTTTCTCAAAAAATCATTAAATGAATCAAAGTGGCTGTATATTTTTGCTCTAGTAATAATTTTTTGATCAATTTTCATTTGTTAGTAAGTCGCTTTAAAATTAGTGCCTTAGATCTCACCGAAATGGGATATTTTTTAAATCGAATGGGAGCCCAACGGAAATATAATGGGCAAAACAATAAATGCATAAAAAAAAACAAAAAAATTTGAAATCGATTAATTTCTTTCAATATTCGTATCAGTTCAGTTTATTCCTCTTCCCAATCTTCGAAACGTTTAAAAAATTGATTGCAGACGTAAGTTATTCTAATGAGAAATGCAGAGAAAAGATTTTAAATTCAAATAAGTGAATTAAACGTACTCTCTCCCCCCTTTGACAGCTGTCAAACTCATTTAAACATATGTAATGAACAGTAAATAAAAATAAGCTTGTTTATGTTGCGTAGTCTCTATGATCAATAAAATTTAGCTTTTAATTTGATGAGAATTAAAAAAAAAAAATATATATAATTTCGATAAAATACAAAAGTATTAAAAGTTGTTTTAAAATAAAATGTCTTATTTCAAAGACCTAAATCCATACCAATTGCATCAAAAGTTGATAAATGAGTATATTTTGAGACGACCCGGCGACACGAGTAAATTGTATGTTAGAGATACAAGTAAAGATAAAACGGATTTGGATGTAATTCGTGAGAACCACCAGTTTCTGTGGAATGAAAATGAAGCTGATTCATGGGATAAACAATTGGCCAAAAAGTACTATGATAAATTGTTCAAAGAATATTGCATAGCAGATCTCACAAAGTACAAGGAAAATAAAGTATGGCATATTGGATATTTATTTTGACAATACCTACCTACCTTCAGTCAAACATATCTTTTCATCACGAATTTATTTTTGATGTTCCATAAAGATTGCATTACGATGGCGTATTGATCGGGAAGTAATCAGTGGAAAAGGGCAATTTATTTGTGGTAATAAAAAGTGTGAGGAACGTTCGGGACTACGAAGTTGGGAAGTTAATTTCGCTTATGTCGAACATGGCGAAAAGAAAAATGCTCTCATCAAATTGAGTACGTATTAATCGGATTAATTGTAAAATTGGAGATATTAATCAGCATTAATGATTTCATCAACAGGGTTATGTCCAATTTGTTCAGACAAACTGAACTATCATTCCAAAAAAAGAGAAGTAAAGCGAATGAAAAAACAGACAAAGCACAATAGTCACAGACACAATGACGTCGCTGCCAGTTCTGTGTCACCGCAGGCAACTACCTCCTACGATTCGACTGAGAGAGGAAATAAGACGAACATATCACAACATACTGATGCCATACCAAACAGCAAAGCAAGTGACGCAGCTCATCAACAGCTAGAGCAAATTTTTTGGTCAAAGTCAACGGACGATGTAGAAAAAACTCGTGAAGAAGAATTCGATGACTATTTAGCGGATTTGTTGTTGTAGTGTTGTGATTTTACTATGTTGATACACACTCTGCTCGAATTTAATAAGTCAAAAACGGGCGCTCCCAATCTCATTCTTCGTTTATTTATTTCAAAAAAAAAAAAATCAAAATTTTGATACTTTTTTTTATTTTTCCTATTTTTTTTCATCCACTTGGTCTATTTCAAAATATTGCAAACATAAAAAGAATGCTTATGCAACATGAACTGTCAAGTAGTTTTTCCTCTAATTTTTTTTTTAAAATCTCTAGTATTTGCAATTAAATACAATTTGAAATAAAGTAAAATAATCATAAGTTACAAATGGCACTGTTAAAATTTTCAGAAAACTTTTCGATACGTAAAATTTTTGTTATACATGTCGTACATGTAGTTTTCATTTTATGAAAAATTTTAGCATACTACGAAGAGTCGAAAGAGTCAAAAATTAAATAGTTGTTTAACATTGTTTGTAAAGCTCCACAATTCTTTGTGCTTGTTCAAATCCAGAAAGAAATGCACCATGGGCTGTTGAAAAATACTTTTCATGACAAGCTTCGCCTGCGAATAGAACGACTGGCGAGGCTGTTGTTTCGCCTTTCTGTCCATCTTCGTGCACTTCCGGTTGGTTTACTTGGTAGAAGTTTCCAATCGACAACGATTGTCCAAGTACATTATGAGAAATCGTTTCATTTTTGTCGCATCTTGTGCTTATGTAGCTATAAGCACCGTTTACGTATCGATTTGAGTACCATCGTGTACTATAATATAAATAAGAAGAAAACAAATGATCACATGAGTAATTAGATTCCTTATTCAATATACAAGTAATTCTTTGTTGGCTTACCAGTAGTATCGTTTTGGATATGGAATAGTTTTGTTAGTAAATTTAACTAAAAGCTTCACACAATCTTCTATGATTTGGTCATCGTTGAGTTTCTCCATTTGTATAGCACCGATACCACCAACCCAGCCCAGTAAAATATTCGAGCTGTGCGGTTGTAATCTATCAAAGCCCGTAATATAATCGGTCCATTGAGTTTTCTATAAAATTACACGATTTTCAATGGAAACACATTTACTGATTGAAAAAAACCAAGCCAACTGAATCCAAGGAAAAATGATCATTGATAGCTATCTAACTAAAGTTAGACTTTATTTGTACATGTTTGATGTTACCTCTTTGTTGTGCTTGAAAACAAATTGAATTCCAGCCAAATCATTCCACCAAGGGTTATCAAATTCCATAAAAACTTTGTTAATTGTTTCAAAACCAATGCTCTCAATAGCTAACTGTATAGATGGAGGTAAATTTGGATGAAATAGCGTCTTATGTACTTTTTTCAAAACTCCCAAAGAAAATGTCACTATAACGTGATCTAACATACATATATACAAGGAGAGAGAAATATATTTAAATTTTCAACGAACGCATGAAAACATCCAATTTTGGGCTTACCTGCTGTATAGAGGCTTCCGTCCGAACATTTCACAGAAATATTTGGTACTTTTCGCTTACTCGGTCTATCATTATTATCATTATTATTTATGCGTATTTCAGTTACTTCTTTACTGTAGTGAATTAATTTATTGTTAAGCTCAGCGGTGAGACAGTCGATAACTGAGCCGAAACACTTTTTAAAATTATAGTGTGCCTGACACGCTTCTCCATTGAATGAATACCTCCCCCAATATTTGGCTGACAATTGATCCAGTGACAGGCATGAATTATCAATTATTTGGAAGCGTACATGCCAATCAAATAAATCCATAGCATTTTCTCTGTCTCGTGAATTTTCTAAGCAATCAACAAATTTCTGAAATTTTTCTCGTAAAAAGTGACCCACTGATTTGGGACAGCAGGACACGGTTTCCTTTGAGCGTACAAACTCTTCACATTCGCTAAGTAATTCACCGATTCGGAAGTCAACTTTTTTCACAAAAAACGGATCAATCTGATTGCCATATTCATGGAAGAAAGAGCCCATACCTTCTTCAGATTGCTGGGATGATAAAAGTCGATAATTTTGCGAAACGGTATAAAGAAAATTATTACGACCATGTAACCATTGAGCACCTGCATCCACAAAATTCAAATCCGAATGCTTCACAGATGTTTCAGTCTTGTTTTTTGAATATTCCAGGAGTTCTTCGGTTTTCACCCGACCGCCAGCCTTATTTTGAGCTTCAAGTATTAAGTATGTGTGCTTATCAGATGCGTTGTTCAATGCATTCGATATTTTTATTGCAGCACCTAAACCGGCTAATCCAGCACCGAGAATCAAGATTTTTGTATGGCGAATCACTTGATTAGCATTCGCGGAATATTCCTTCAATTCTACGTTCATTGTTGTGCAGTCTTTTAATTTCTTAGTAGATTTTTGTACGGTTTCATTGCCACTTCAAGAAGAAAATTAATTAACTTTACTTTCAGTAGAATAATAACGTCTATTTGAGATAAAACGTGTGCTTTTAATAAACGGGTATTTATGCCTAACGATCGAGGGACTACATGAAAATGTTATTAATATATTTGTTCATTTGCTCTCACCTAATTGTAACATTCGCTTGACTCTCAGTCTTACAACTAGCGTCCGACTCATTTGAGCTAGCGACGACACTTTCTTTTGATTCTAATTTTTGAGTTGAATTCAATGTGAAAAACCATCTCGCCGAACAGTTTGAATAACAATGGTTGTCCCATACTCGTTTCGACCTTGAATTTAAAAAAAAAAAAACAGTATTAAATTTTAGGATCACAATTCTTGTTGAATTTTCTGTTTATACCATTCAACAAACGTAGAGTCGAGAAGATTTTGTGAGATATAGTAATTCTTATCCATTGATAGATTGGACCATAAAAGTGATTGTTTTAAATTGTACAATAATTTTTGTGTGCTTGGACGGCAAAATTTAGTTGTTCGATCGTTATGTGCACCCGTTGAGTTCTTATAAATAAATACGCCCTCATTTGAGTTGTTTGGCCGGCATTTGCTATATCCAAATTTTCCATCCATACTAGGCCACCATTTGAAAGTGCTTCCCAGTTGAAGCATGTCACGTGTACTGAGTTAAAGAACAAATAAACCAGTTTTGGAGAAAATGAAGATTTTTTTCTCAACGTTAAAAGAAAAATAAATTTTATTATTCACGTACTATGTCATATAAATTGTAAATTTAAATGAAATTTTTTTTTCTGACATAAATAGATATTCAAAGAAAAATACTTCAGTTGGAGAGATGACAGTCCCTTTGTTGGTACTTCTTCGAGAATATTCATCAACGCATCGTGGTCATTCGTATAATTTTCGTTCAGTACTTTATTCATGTTTTTTCTTGGTTAATACTGTCTTCTAAGCACTAAACTTTGCATTATTTGGAACAATTTTTCTAACATTTCCCCCAAATCAAAGCGGGTTTCTTTTATGGTGATGCGTGGAATATTTCCTATGGATTATTTTAAATTTCAAACACACATTTTTCAATGAGATTTGGTCAAATTCAGAGTGGCACGTTGCAGATATTTGGTGCCCAGTATACAACTATCGTATTTCAATGTAGGTGATTAGACCCAGTAGATGCTTTGATAATTTCGGTGCGTAAGTCGTACATTCTTCTCACCACACAGTTCGTGTGTGAGGCTTTCTGTGCCGTCCGCCGTGCCGTATCTTGTGTCTGCATTCGCATGACCCAAATGTCGCATAGCGGATGAAGAGTGAGAAGCATGTGTTTGTAAATGGAAATGTGCTTGTGTGCGTTGTATGCTACGGCTTGAACGAGCAGTAAAAAGAGACAGTCGATATGCGCATGTACAAGATTGACAGCTGTTTGTCGACTCAATAACTAAAAAAGCATGTGAGTGGCCTGTGCACCGCTAATTTCAAGAGTGAGACAAAAAAATTCTTTCAGAATGTTTGCCGCCAGATTGTTGAATAAATTTCGTGCCAGAAGTAACTTTTTGTATTCAGGTAAGCACGTGTTCTCATTCTATAAATAAGCATTTGTTTGCAAAAAAAATCAATTCGAATGTAATGTGTTGTTTTGAAAAATTTCAGACTTTCGGCAAAAATCGAATGCACCCAGAAGAATGAGTAAAATCGTGTGGATTGATATGGAAATGACCGGTTTGAACGTTCGTAAAGATCGAATCATGGAAATTGCCTGTCTCATTAGCGATAATAATTTGAATGTTCTGGTTGAACATCCAACGATCATCATAAATCAACCCGATACACTACTTGCATCCATGGATGAATGGTGTACAACGACCCATACACAAGTAAATAACTTTGTGATTATTCAAGTATTTTCGATTTGTAATTTGAAGAAGAAACCGATGAAAATGTTGAAAATTTCACAAAAAACTTCCATTCCACTGTGAAGAATAAATTTAACCGGTGTCAAATATTTTTACGTTATATTCAATGGATTTTAGAAAAGAGGTGCTATCAATCAACAACGATATTTTGTGTTTAAACTGATTTTAAAAAGTTTATGCTCTTTTTATAAATATTTAAACCATTTTGACTGATTTTTGTTTAACAAAAATATTGTGTTTCCACAGACCGGGCTCTTGGATGAATGTAAGAAATCAAATATAACAGAAGATCAAGCTGAGGACAAAATATTGAAGTTTCTGGATCAAAACGGTGTTGATGCGTCATCTTCTCCATTGGCTGGTAATAGTGTGTACATGGATCGAATGTTTCTCAGAGAATACATGCCCCGGCTCAATGAGTATCTACATTATCGCATTATTGATGTATCTACGGTAAAAGAACTGTGCAAGCGATGGAATAAATCCATATTTTCGAATGTACCACGTAAAAAGAACGTTCACCGTGGCATAGATGACATCAAAGAGAGCATCGAAGAGCTCAAATACTATAGAAAATTCATGTTTCCACCAGCTAGCAAATGATTTCTTTTAATTCCAATTGAAAATGCGGGAACAGATTGTTTTGCTGATAAGAATTTAGCGTTTTTTTTTTTAGGTTAAGTTAGTGCGAGAATACGTTTAATGCCCAATGTTTTCACTGTGTGCTATAAAAGTTGAAATGATACTATTTATGGATAACTGACAGTTCCGTTGGAATTATGATTATATTTTATAAGTACGTTGTATAGAGAGAATTGTTGCTAAGTCGATCAAAAATTGTACAATAAAAATCATGCAATACGATTATATTGGATTTATAGTTGCGGCGTTAATCGCCATCGGCGGAGCCATTGGATATTTTAAGGCAGGTAAGAATCAGCTGTAAAAAATCGACGAAGAAATACATCGAGAAATCAATTTATAAAATAAATAGATAGAAGAACACTTTTCAATGATTTACTATCTCATTTTCTTTTGTCTAAAGATTCCGTCGCATCATTGATTGCTGGATTGGCTTTTGGTATCATTTTGGGTAAGAATTATTTGCTTATACACATTTTATACAATTATTCTTACAATTTATAATGCAATAATTTTTTTCACATTTAAATTGAACAAAAGCTGTTGGCGCATACTTTAATTCAAGATCACCACCGAAACCTTTGCTGGAATTAGGTAAGCATTCTCGTAATATCATCTAAATATGGGATTTTCTACTTTTCAACAAACAATGAACAAATTCAATGATTTAACATTTCAGTTGTGCTCCTTATTTTGGCCGGATTGATGTTCTTCCGTTATTATAAATCAGGCAACTTCATGCCCGCTGGTTTAACCGCAGTAATCGCACTTGTCGGTCTTGTTATCAATTCAATCATTTATTACGATGACCTGCGAAATCAATTGTCATAAATCAATTTTCCAAATGGAATTTTTCCACATGCAGCTAAACACACATCTCTATTGAATACAAGCTAGTTCCAAATTTGATAATATTTTTTTAAACAGAATTTCGGATTTATTTTGTCAATAAAAAAAAAATTTACATTTTGAAACAATTTCGAAAGTATTGCGTCTTATTCAACAAACACTTGTTGACATTCGTTGTCTTCCAAACAAAGGTTTGTATGTGAGTGTAAACAAAACAATCATTCCAATTATAGCAAAGTGACACTTCATATTTTTATTCAAGTACTGTAGACTGCGGAAGAGAGATTCTAAAAAATTTATTTAAATTTCTAAAAGTTGAGATAAATAAGTGGAAAAAAATCTTTAGAAAATGGCTATTGATGCAATCAGCTATATATATGCAGCGACTGTAGCTGCCGGAGGCATAATTGGTTACGTGAAAGCAGGTAAATTTAGTTTTAAATATCACATTTTTGTCTTATGAAAAAAAACTCGGTTTACCGAACTCCGAATTCTTTTATATATAGGTTCAATACCGTCACTCGGTGCTGGACTCGCATTTGGTGCCATTTTGGGTATGTTTTCATGATAAATTCCCTCTATTCCCTCGGTTATTTTTGATAAACAATTTGGATATACATAACTATTTGCTTTCCATAACATTTAGGTTATGGAGCACATTTGAATTCTCAATCGCCGCCCAAGCCACTATTTCAATTAGGTTTGTGAATTATCAAATGAGTCAAAGACTTCCAAATTCGGATCCTAACCACATCTTGTTATTTTTTAGGAGCTTCATTGACATTAGCGGGGTTGATGTATTTACGCTGGTCGAAAAGTGGAAAGCTAATGCCAGCTGGGGTAATTTACGTTGAAAATATAGAAAGAAAAATAAACTACCCGAAAGTTTTTCACATTCAAAAACTTAATAGTATATATTTATTCAAATTTGTTATATTTATAGATGATTTGATTTTATTTTTTAGGTAATTTGCCTATTATCTGCTGCTTCATTTGTGCGCAACGTAGTTGTTTACAATCAACAACTTCCGCTACCAGGACGAAGCCAATGGTAGACGAAATTAAATACATTCTTTGTAAAACGTTAGAAAACGAAAAATAAAATCTAAATTGTGGGAAAGGAAAAAATTTCAATTATCATCTATCAATGAATATTTTTTAAGGAGAAACATTGCAAGGAAATTTAAGCAGAAAATAAAATGGTCTTATATCGTAAAAAGTAATGGTCCTCTCGATTCGATAGCACTGCCCATGTCTAGCATGTCTTATTTGTAAATAACTTCGTGCAGCTTGGTGTCATTTCCTCCACTTCCATATGTTTATATTAATGTTTGAACTTTGACAAGTAAGCTTCTACAATGGACGTTAAATGCGATTGGAGACGCCACAAAAATAACTCCAATATAGTCGATTATTGATCGAACTACTTTACACGTTTTCCATATTCTGTTTTTCCAATAAGTCTTAGCATCTGTGGCACAAACACCCTCATAAGTCTACTCAGGTAATAATGGACTCCCATAATACGCTTAACATATGAGTGAGTTGCCATAAGAACGAAACGAATGAAAATTATTTTATTCACTGTTGCTTTGATGTTCGTTCGAATCTGTTGAATGAATTTACAGTATTTCGAAATGAACGGTAAGTTATGCGAATTTATATTGTTTGTTGGAAACAAAAACGAAGAAGTAACAAAATATCTACTATTTTCTCAAGCAATGCTACTATTTGCCTGCCGAAACTAAAAACCAAGAACAATCATCTGATTTGCAACTATGTCGCTGAGAATAATGGTGAATTATTATTATTGACTAAGATGCATTACTGAAAAAGTTGAAAATATAAAAAAAATCAATTCAAGGACAAATACTGCTGCCTTCGGAAGTAAAAAAAACTCTGATGAAATGAAACATCATAAAATCTATTATTGCTAGGTAATTTAATTCAATAAAATACAATTTAAGATACAAATGATTTAGAATAAAACATTAAATGTGCTACTTAAAATCTATTTTCTTTTTTTGTTTAAAAAAGCTAGCCTTTATAATTACAACTTAATCGATGGTTCGGACAACATATTATGTAACCAATTTTTATGTAATAAATGGTGAATTTGTTTTTAAAATCCGAAAATAAAAACATTTTGATTGCTAAAATGCTTTAACATTTATTTTTAAATATATCGCATGAAGCATAGCTAATTGCGAAAACGCAATTCTACACAAAAGGCATCTGGCCACGACGAAGCACACGCAATTTTATTCAATTGTCAGAGATTTAAGAGATCGAAGCCAATTTGATTTGCAACAATTCCTCAATTCTGTTATTGCGCCTCGCATTGATCTAATGCCAACGGAACATTTTGTATTGTGTATTGAATGAAAATTTAGTAGGAGTTTTATCAAAATTGCTCTCTGTTAAACTAAAATTTGACAGACAATTGTATTAAATGAGTGCCTTTATATGTTTGATTGTAAATAAACTTCATAAATTTTCGGCCTAAATTTATTTAAATCAAAACCGAAATAAATCTGATTAGAATAGTTAAAAATGTATGGTTTATTCGAAATGATGGTTTTAGTTGTTGTTTTTCTTTCGGTTAATAGGAACACGACATGGTTATTATCGCTTTTGGTGAAGTTGGAAAAAAAAATAAAGCGAAAAAATCAAACAAACCTCAACATACAATAAGAGAAGTGATAATGAATCTTTTGTTGTATATGCTGCGTTCGCGTGATCGATTTTGTTCAATATTTCAAGATAATGTTTCTAATGAGATTATCAATCAATTTATATTTACTACAATTTTACTAAAAAATTTCATTAGTTTTTGCTATCAATTAGACGTGGAAATAGTTTTTGTTCTTTTTTGTTTTAGGAAAAGATGAGCATATAAAATACGTTTTATTATTTCGTTTTGCATTCTATTTATTCTTATCACATATTCAATCAAGAGTCTTGCGGAAATTTTTTCACTTAAATTTACAAATTACTACTATACATGCGTCGTTTTTTATCTCTCATTTCTTTTCTCGACACGAAGAGCCATTGAAGATGAATAATACGTAATATGTTCCCTATTTTGAATGGCAAACTGAAACATACATGTATAATTGAAATATATATATATTTGCGGTCGAATTGCGTTGGGCAAGTAAATGTAAAACCATTTCGATTGGCTCATTTGAATAAGAATTTAATTTTCTTGATTTTACCTAACAGTAACATACTTTTATGGTAAGATCTGCATTTAAACCATGTATCAATAACAAAATTGACAATGAAATTTTCTCATTTTTGTTATCTTAAGACTTTGCAAAAAATGTTCAAATGAACTTATTGACAAATTGAATAAATACACTAGTTTTTTTTTAAATTGATTCCATCATCGTTTGAAAAAACACACATATTCTGAAATTGTAATATAATTGCTTGCTTGCAAGTGTTTTCAAGGAACCAAGAATCTCTTGTAAAAACATTCTCCATTTAGAATGTGGAAATTATTATGAAAAAAAAATTCGAAGAACTAATCTTGAGACAAAAAAAAAGTGCTAATTTATTGAACGCAAAGGTGTAAATGAGAAATCACCAATTCAAAAATTCAATTAAAACTGATTACTTTGGAGTGGCGAGGGAAAATTATTCCCGCATTTTCGGCTTAACTACAAATAAAGTGTATGGGCGGTGCGTTGATTGTATAAGAATAATAATGAAAGTTCATCCAATTTTAAAATACTTAGCCGTTATATTAGTATTTCCTTAATGATGCTATGATCTTATGTTGTGTATTTTGATTGAATCTGAATGGTTACTACTACAATAGCTACTACTTCTTCTTCTTCATACGAAAGTTATTTTCTTCGCATTTTTCTCATTCGGTTCAAAATTCATACAGAATTCTTTTCATATTCAGACAAAGTATATTGTTTCCACGATAATTCAATAAAAATGATGAACATTGATCTAAAGTGGATGGTGAATATTTATGCGTTTATTTCGGCAATATGTAAAGAAAGAACACTCTCCCATTGATTTTAATGTATTTACAGTTTATGGCAAATCGATTTATTCATTTTTTTTTTCTATTCGCATTCATGTAGTCTATCTCCAGTTTATATCCGCTGTCCTATTCCCCTTATTTATTCAGGTGATTTAAATTCGCCCGCTGCAAAAAAAAAATCGAAATAAACAATTTCATTAGAGAATGTATTAAACATAAGTATACATTGTAATTGAATGAAATAAAACGTTGAATAAAATTTATATTTGAGAATTAGATGCAGAAAATAATTCAGTCATAATGAAGTGGTGTAGTGTGTGCACCAACCCAAATAGCATGAATCAACAGTTCCGAAAGAAATACAAAGAATTGATGGTACTTGTTTCAACATTTGAAATTTCCAAAAAAAGATAATGCATGTGAGCAATGAAATGACAGTATTAACAAATTGAAACAAACTGTTTTTATGGCAGTCATGCTGATGAGTTCTGCCAAGAAAAACTATTTGTTTTTGTATACGAGTAATAATTTACAAAATTCAGCTTTTTTCTGTACATCTCATACATAAAGAGTATTTACAATGGAATGGATATGACTGATATTGCAGGCAAGTGAATTGCTGTTCTCATATCAAAAAAATGACGATTCCATTTGTTGAGAGAAAGAATCAATAAAGAGAATATAAAATAGTAGGAAAAAAAATACAGAACTCAGCCCATCGACGATACACAAATCGCTTTGCAGTTGAATTGTTGCATAATGGTGCCGACTTACCAAACGAAAATGCGCAAAAAATAGAAAATGAATACATCACAGTGAATATCAGGTCTGCTGGTACATTATCATTGAAATAATAAAGCAAAAAGAAAGGAAGAAAAGCGAGAGCGCAGGCAATAGAGAGAGGTGATATGGGGAAAAAGAAGATAATGAAGAAGAAGAAGTAGAAGGAGTGAGAAACAGTCGGAATATAGAAAAATCCTAGCTTTCGAAGCAAAATAACATTTTTTGAATTATTCGAGTCTTACCCGTGATAAATCATTGCGTTTTTGTGTAATTTGGTCAACAATCACAACTCTCAAGAAATTTCGCTCTTTTCATATTCTTCTCTTATTTTTGATCAATTGTGATGAAAAACATATTGGCATAATCTATGAGTTATTCGACAAATTGTTGTTCTGTATATGAATAAGGTATAGTAACAATAACAAACATCAGCTAGAGAAATTAGATCGCTATGAATTGGTAATAGATTGTCATATCGTCTACTGTGTGTTTGTGTGCGTGGTGATTTTACATTTTTATTGCTTATTTTCCTTTGTCCCATTCTTGTGACTCTTCTCAACTTCATCACATTTTCGTTTTCTTTTTAAATCTATTCTGATGTTGGGTATATCAGATCAGAGTGTGTGATCGTTTTTATTTTGCTGAAGTGTCGCATTAAATGCCGCTGTGTTACTGTTTGCACCAAGTAGATTGAACGAAAACGGTGTTGGAATGGTTGTTGTGGTTTTGAAATATTGCCCAAGATTTCCGAAATCATATGGGTTTTTTGTGGTCGATGAGACCCGTTTCAAATAGAGATCGAATACTGGGTTCCGCGTAGAAGTCGGCAATTGATTGATCTGTGGGAATTCCGGTGAATTTTTGTTGACTACTGCAAAAGCTGATTCGTTCGGCGTGCTTTGTGTCGTCGTCGTTGTAGTTGGTGTTGTAAACGGTAAAAATGATGGTGGTGCATGGGTCGTTGAAAGAGAGTATAACGACAAAAATGATGGGTGTACAGTAGAAGAAGTCGTTGGTAAATGATTAAATTTAAATTCTTTGAAGTCGTATGGATTTTGTTTGGTGCTTGACGGAAATTTATAGAACGGTGGTGTGGTGGTTTTTTTGAAATTGAACCCAAAATAAAAGGGATTAATGGTTGGACGTGCTGACGAAGGTATTATTGATTCAATGGGAGGAGCGGTTGTGCCAATCGTTTTTTGTCTATCATTCAATAGGTCAAAGGTGAATTGTTTTTGGGATTTTGATGTGGTGGGTTTAACTGTGGTAGTGGTTGTGGTGGTGCTTGTAAAGAAACTTTTAAAATATCTGAAAGGATCTTCAGTACTTGGAATGGAAAACGGTTCTTGTTGGTTTGTGTTAAAATTGTAGAAGGAGCTGGGGTCGATTGGGGGAGCTAGGGTTGATGTTGTGGTTGTGAACAATGGATCCTTGGGCTCGGGGCTATACGACTCAGTACTGTATTAAAAATAACGATAATAGGGATAGTTTGAATAATATTGGTTTCTCCAATTGCTAGCAAATTTCAAGTAAAAAAAAAAACAAAAGAAAGATGGCTTAAATTTTGTGTCAAAACAGAGATAAATATATCGGGTATTGGCTGTTCTTCATGGATTTATATATAGATATAAACAAACGAAATTGTACATTTGCCTGTAACAAACAAAACTCTAAAAGCAAAAACAAACCGTTGCGATTGCATCACATATTTTGTGATTACTTACTTGAGACTTTGTTGTTGATATAGATTTGGACTAGCATAACTTGGCGTATGCTGTGAATAGTCCGGTATGATATTCTCATGTTCAGCTACACATCGGCCATCCAGACAATGCTATATAATATTTCAAAAATAATAAACAACAATCCACTTAGAAAAATTAATCGAAATTTCCAAAAAATGATACCACGGTGGAACAATTTTCAAACTTTTTAATAGAACTTGAGCTTGACTATGTATAAGGGGGTGAAAGTAGGCCTAGAGCCATGAAGAACCTCATCTTTAGTTTTGTCAGTAGTAATTTGACCGAATGTCCACAAAACGCTCAAAAATCGGACCAAAAATCGAAATTTCCCTTCAAATGAGTAATTTTTCCCACTAAACTAGCCTAAAAATAACTTTACATTATCCGAAGGAACACTTTAATGAAAATCCAAGCAAAGAATATGGAAAGATGTATAGCTATTTGCATGTAATAGGGCAAAACTTTCAACAAAATGACCATTTTTGGTACCAAAGAGTGATTTTTAGTCAAAAAGGTGGATAGAACATAATTTTTCTGGGTCGATATTGTTCAAGAGTGAACAAAAATATATCAAGCATAAATTCACTTGCAACGTCATCCGTACTTAGCATTTACATACCAATTATATTCATTCTTATTGCATCAG